GAGGTAAAAAACACAAACATTCCTGATACCAGTGGGAACTGCCTTCCTGAGAACTTCATAGCAGTGTTCTCAGGCTCTCAGTGTTACATATGCAATAAAGGGTTAGGAAGGAGGCAGTGCAGGTGTTCTAAGAACATTGGCACTCTCTCTGAACAGCGCTAAACCCGCTCCATCTGAAAAAAACTAAAATAAACCATTGACTTTTTAAAATCTGAAATCTTAAGTACTGTGTATGTAATCAACAAGTGCTTAATTTATTCTATGCAAATTATAATTACAGTCTTGCTACAGGCAAAACATTTTAAATACTTAAAATTCTCTTAAAGATGATCCAGTAAAGAAGTTCATCTTTAGATAAGAACGTTAATAAGGCCCTGGAAATACTTTCCCAGCACGAGTACTCTTCTTTAGGCTACAGTTGATAGAAATAAATTTCCCAAGACTGAACACTTAATTACCCCAAGTTGTATACTGCTAAGCTAGAGTATCATTTAAAAGTTCAAAATGTAATTAATATAGATGTGTTAACACTCAAAATTTATATAGGACCTTCAAGAATAAGCCATCACTCAGGGCGCCTGGGTGGCTCAGCTGGTTGAGCGACTGCCTTCGGCTCAGGTCATGATCCTGGAGTCCCTGGATCGAGTCCCGCATCGGGCTCCCTGCTCGGCAGGGAGTCTGCTTCTCCCTCTGACCCTCCCCCCTCTCATGTGCTCTCTGTCTCTCTCATTCTCTCTGTCTCAAATAAATAAATAAAATCTTTAAAAAAAAAAAAAGAATAAGCCATCACGCAATTCCTCTAAAGCCACCGTGTCGGAGGGAGGAGGAGACGGGGACTGACTGTGGATACAAGCACCTAGCCAGAGAGGGTGCTGGTACCCATCCCTTACAATTTGCAATGTTTTCTGATCCTAATATATATTCTTTGCTATAAACAACAAAATTAGCACAACAACCAATAGAGACTCCACTGTAAGTGCCGTGCTGGCTGTTCTCTAACTCACCAGTTAAATGGACCAAAAACCCTCCATTTCCTCCGCTGCCCATCTTGCCCTAGGCAAGTGCCCAGTTCCTTCAGGGTTCCTGAAACCTGTCTAGAACCTGATGAGAACCTGATGGTCTCTGCCCACTCTCACTTGTCTCAACACCAAAGACCACTATAGTTGGTTCCTTGAATTTTGTGGTCATTAAGATACACTTTCACACATTACCCATTTCCCTTTAGTACCTATAAAATAAAATTCAAATGTTGACATTCCAAAGTCCTTCAAAATCTGACCCCTGTAGAGTAACTACATAGGTGATTTTCAGCTTGTAATAATACCCTAATAACACCTGAACTTTTACTTAGAAGTACGTACGGGCTTTTTTCCCGGAGTGTAAAATAAATGGTTTTAAAGTCCAAAATGCTAATACATAAAATAGAACACTCAGCCATTACCTGCAAATCCCCCTTTTTAAGGTCTCCGCCTCAAATACCTGGTCAAGTTTTGCCATTAATCTTGGTCATTCAAACAAAAGCAAACAAGGTACTTTCTGATATATTTCCTTAGTAACCTTGAACTGTTCAGAGGTCCCACCGGGGAAATCTTTCCCTGGTCAGTAACTAACACCTCCACCAGGGGGCAGAAGAGCCGAGAAGTTGAAAGAGTCATTTTTGCTAGGAACTATTAGTAAATTATTAAGGCAAAAAAGGGTGGAGCTGAACGTGCAAACAGTGCAGGGAAAATGTAACATCTAACTCAGGCCCACAAGTAAAGAGATAAGCAGCAGAGTAAAGCAACCAAAACTAATGTAGCTGCTTCCCCAGTCTACTGTATTTATCCAACTGGTGACCTAACCACAGGGCAGGGCTGTCCCTTTTGTTTACTGCCCCCTCCAAGTGCCCCAAACCTGCCCTGTCACAGCAGGTAGTCCAGCAGTCGCTGAGCGGTGATCTGGGGCGCTACTTGTTTTAGAAAATACTACAGAACTCTCAGTTTTGCCATTTTCTTGCTAGACCTCTGGCAAGTTATTTAATTGCCGTGACTCACTTTCTTCATCTGTAGAAGAGGAAAGTGTTGTGAAAATTAAGGAAGATAAAGAAAAAACTTAGTTCAGAACAGTGCCTGGAACATAAGAAGGGCTTAATAAATATTATTAAAGAAACAAGTTTTGCTAGAAGCAAAGGCTACGAAATACTATTTTTCCTCAAAATTGTAAAAAGTATAGGGTGGGAGATGAGAATTCAATTATGAGCCAGGCCTTAAAATATATTCAGCAAATCCATATTTTATTTCAAAGCATGATGCTCCAGACAATTTTCTTTTGTGTGTGTGTGTGCATGTGTGTGTGTGTGCGCGCGCGCGCGCGCAAGAAGAGGAGAAAAAAAAATCTCGGTAAATTACTCCGAACAAGGCCCAGCACCTAAAGAGTCTTAAATCCTGTCTACTATTAAGAATTTAGGGGTGGGACACCTGGGTGGCTCAGTTGGTTGGGCGTTCGGCTCAGGTCCTGATCCCAGGGGCCTGGGATCTAGTCCCGCATCAGGCTCCTTGCTCAGCAGGGAGCCTGCTTCTCCCTTTCTCTCTGCCTGCAGTTCTCCCTGCTTGTGCTCTCTCTCTCTGACAAATAAATAAATAAAATCTTTAAAAGAAAAAAAAATAATTTAGGGGTGCCTGGCTAGCTGAGTGGGTGGAGCATGCGGCCCTCCATCTCGGGCTTGTGAGTTCGAGCCCCTACGGTGGGTGTCCAGACTACTTAAAAATACTTAAAAAAAAGAAAAAAGAAAAAAATGTGGGGCTTGTGGTTAAAAGGGCACCCGATTTTAAAACGATTCCTAGGTATGAAATACTGACAGGAAACTGAGTTTTCACGATTGGAGAAATTGTGCCTGCTAAGAGTTATGTGGTCTCTGCCACCAGGTGCTGCCTCGTCCTCAGGGTTGAACCCCAGTCAACATCAGTTTACCCTAAGATGAAAATAGATGTGACCATACTTGACAGAAAACAAGAGGAGAACAAGGGGGCGGACCCCGGGGACTGGAACGCCAGGGGAAAACGAAGTCTCAAAATTTCTTCTTCGCGGAACAGAGGAAAGGGGTGATCAACAGCCCCGGGTTGCAATACGAGCAGTGTAGGGAGCAGTGGAGACCGCCAAGGAGAAAGAAGTACCGAGAGGAAGCGCTAGGAAGCAAACCGAGGCGCCAAGCCGGAATGGCCCCTGCCCAATCCTGCCTCCGCCTCCGCGGGGGCCGCGGGGGGCCCGCAGCCGGGCGCGCCTTACCCAAATTGGGCGCCGCAGCCACGACAGGTCGGCCCAGCGCCCGGCTTCACAAACAGCACCCGACCACGCGCCGCTGCGGTCATCCCGCCCCACCCTCCCCACTGACCCCCAACAGCCCGCGGCCCGGGCTCCTCACCTCCCTCCTCCAGCCCAGGGTCCTCCTTCCAGGTCCGAGTCCCGCACCCGGACTCCGGCTTCCTCCTCCCCAGGCCCGGGCCGCTCATCCCGGCTCCTCCAGCCCAGGGTACCCCCCCTTCCAGGTCCGAGTCCCGCACCCTGACCCCGGCTCCTCCAGCCCAGGGTCCCCCCTTCCAGGTTCGAGTCCCGCACCCGGACTCCGGCTTCCTCCTCCCCAGGCCCGGGCCGCTCATCCCGGCTCCTCCAGCCCAGGGTCCCCCCTTCCAGGTTCGAGTCCCGCACCCGGACTCCGGCTTCCTCCTCCCCAGGCCCGGGCCGCTCATCCCGGCTCCTCCAGCCCAGGGTCCCCCCTTCCAGGTTCGAGTCCCGCACCCGGACTCCGGCTTCCTCCTCCCCAGGCCCGGGCCGCTCATCCCGGCTCCTCCAGCCCAGGGTACCCCCCTTCCAGGTTCGAGTCCCGCACCCGGACTCCGGCTTCCTCCTCCCCAGGCCCGGGCCGCTCATCCCGGCTCCTCCAGCCCAGGGTCCCCCCTTCCAGGTTCGAGTCCCGCACCCGGACTCCGGCTTCCTCCTCCCCAGGCCCGGGCCGCTCATCCCGGCTCCTCCAGCCCAGGGTACCCCCCTTCCAGGTTCGAGTCCCGCACCCGTCTCCGGCTTCCTCCTCCCCAGGCCCGGGCCGCTCATCCCGGCTCCTCCAGCCCAGGGTACCCCCCTTCCAGGTTCGAGTCCCGCACCCGTCTCCGGCTTCCTCCTCCCCAGGCCCGGGCCGCCATCCCGGCTCCTCCAGCCCAGAGTCCCCCCTTCCAGGTTCGAGTCCCGCACCCGGACTCCGGCTTCCTCCTCCCCAGGCCCGGGCCGCCATCCCGGCTCCTCCAGCCCAGGGTACCCCCCCCATCCAGGCTCGAGTCGCGCACCCTGACCCCGGCTCCTCCAGCCCAGGCTCCCCCTTTCAGGCCCAGGTACCGTACCCTGCCCGACCCCGGGTTCCTCCTCCCCAAGCCTGGGCCCCGCAGCCGGGCTCCCCCTTCCAGGCCCAATCGCGTGCCGGGACCCGGCGCCCCTCCCCGGGATCGGCCCCTTCTCCTGCCACGCTGCCCGCCCGCCTCTCACCTCCCGGGCGCCCGCCGCGGCACTCGGGGGGCTGTGGGTGCGGCGGAAGCCGGGGGAGCGACCGCGAGCAGGTGCGATGTTGCAGCCGCGGGCCTCGGGTGTGAAGCGGCCGCTGCTCGCTGGGCTGAGCGCGCCTGGTCGCTTCCGCTGCGCCGAGATTCTCGAGGAACTTGGTGGTCAGCAGGCCTTGGGTCTCCAACACCATGTCCTCCAGGGGCCTCGCCTCTCTGCGTTCGGCAGTGACGGAGAGCAGCGGGCTCAACCAGAGACCGCCGGAGGAACAGCGCCGAAAGCGCTCCAAGCCGCCATTTTATAACTCCAATCTACGCTCCCCCCCCCCCACCAACTCTGTAAAAAGGGAGGAAAGAAACGCCCGCGTCCAGCTACTGCGCAAGCGCGCCGGAGCCTTGGCGAGCAGTACCTCCCTCCGCGGGCGGTGGAGCGTCACGTAGCGCAGGCGCATGGCTGCCTGGAAACCGTCGCCGGGAAGAGCGCGCCCGTCACGCGCATGCGCGCGCATGCGTGCACTCGCGCGCGCGCGGGCCTCCGCAGGGAAGCCGGCGCCCGCGGCGGGAGTTTGCGCGCGGTGGTCACGTGTCGGCGGCCGGGCGCGTGCGAGGAGACGGTGCGGCGCGGGTCGCTGGTGCTGGGCGAAGCGGGTGTGCGAAGCGTTAGTGACGGCACGCTCGGCCAGTGAGCGTGGCCGGGGCTACGTGCGAGGCACTGGGAAGAGACCGGCGGTGGTCGGGAAACGTGAGTGACATGGGATGCTCGGCGTCGCCAACCTGTCCCCAAGAGCTGCCCCCTCCCCCCGCGCGACCCTGCCCCGATGGCCCACGACGTGCCCGGCCGCCGAGGGCAGGGCGGCCTGGGACTGCGGAGCGCCGAGGACGGGCCTCAGTCGTGCAGGTGGACAGACGGACCCACCGGACGTCCCGCTTGTAGTTGCTTTGCGCAGTGGGCGCGGTAGAGGCGGAGGAGCGTGTTCAGAACGGCGCCTCTAGTTGGGATCCACGAAGAGGAGGTCCGCAGACGCGCCGTCCAGCGCGGAACTGATGCGTGTGTTCTCGTGCCTTCGTTGGAGAACCGCAGCGTAGCGCCGCGGGTGCGAGGGGTTAGGGCTTCGTGCCGGGCAGTGAGCGGCCCCGCCGCACGGCGCGATGCGGCGGTGGGCCCCTGCCCGGGCCCAGCGGTGCGCGAGACCGTCAGCCGCGGGGCTGAGGGAATCGGGCCCAGGAGGAGCTGCTGAGGAAGCTTGCTTCGGGAGAGGAACGTTGTTAGAGCAATGGGGTGGGGGGAGGGGGTCGTGGACATCGAGGATCTGAAAATCTCAGCAAGGTTTGTGCATCCATGCGTGTGGAAAACCAGTGTGCATGTAATCTCACGTGTGTAGGAGCCGTCCCGAAAAGCCCATCCTTGGACCACTGTGCTGAGGACCCAGCTGCACGTGTAAGGGTTAAAAACAGGTGGCGCCCGCGTCGGACATTTAAAATAAAGCCGGGTGTATTGCCTGCTGTGATGGGGACGTCCCCCAAGACAAGAATCCAGAACGTAGGTGTGGCCAGGTGTTTGTTTGCTTTGTTTCCCTGAGGATAGACAGGAAAAGGAGTATCCAGCCAGGGAACTGGCTGAGTAGTTGTCTGTCTTTCGCATTGTCCTTGTGAAGGGGATGGAATAATGCGAACTCTGTGTATGTAGCCAGGAACCATGTGTTATTGCATGGTCTTTAATGGCATGCTCTTTTTTTTTTTTCCTTCTTTAAAGATTTTATTTATTTATTTGAGAGAGAGAGAGAGAAACAGCATGAGAGGGGATAGGATCAGAGGGAGAAGCAGGCTCCCGCCGAGCTGGGAGCCCGATGCGGGACTGGATCCCAGGACTCCGGGATCATGACCTGAGCCGAAGGCAGTCACTCAACCAACTGAGCCACCCAGGCGCCCTAATGGCATGCTCTTTAGTGGTTTTGTTTTTATCAGTAAAAAGAGAACTTAGAGGACAAGCCCTTCTGGATGATGTGTGACTTGTCACAGCCATCCATCTGGTTAGTGCCAGAGCCTGGGTCTCGCTTCCAGCCCAGGGTCCCTTCCCACAACCAGTGGATGCCTACTGTTGGGGACTCCGCAGCTGTTTGGTGCCGAGCCCCAGGTGGCCACTCTTCCATCTGCCCCAGGTCAGCTTTCCATACTTCACAGTGACTGTTGTGAACTCTCATCACTTAAACCTTTCCAGCCACCTTCCTTCCTGTTCTCCCTCCCAACCCCCAGTCTCACCTCTGGCTTCACCATCCATAGTACGTTATAGGCACCCAACTCATTACCAGAAGAACGAACCCTTCTTTTTCTTCACTGAGAGAGAGAAATATTATCCCAGACTTTTCCTGAGCTCCCTTCTGACCAATAGCTTGTGAATCCCCATATTTGGTTCTCTCTGTGTGAAGCTCATTCATTCCAAAATGTTTCTAGTGCCTTCTTATAAATTGAGCGGTAATTTTTCTTTTTAACACCAAAGTATAAATTCCAGATTACTTGCTATATAATATTTAGGTTGTTAACCATGTAAGGGGCACGGATAGGTAAGTCATGGTAGCCTTTCACGTATATGCAGTTGACCCTTGAACAACACAGGCTTGAACTGTGTGAGTCCACTTATATGTGGATTTTTTCAATACATGCAGTATAGTATTGTAAATGTATTTTCCTGATGATTTTGTTAACCTTTTCTCTAGCTCACTTTATTGTAAAAGTACAGTGTATAGTGCATATAACATACAAGATATGTTCATTGTTTATTTTTTCAGTAAGACTTCTAATTAACAGTAGGCTATTAGTAGTTAAGTTTTCGGGGAGTCAAAAGTTATACTTGGAATTTTGGCTGGTGGGGTGGGCAGTGCCGGTGACCCTAACTCCCATGTTGTTCAAGGGTCAACTGTATTTATCATTGAAATGTGGCTAGTTAAAATCACAACTTCTGTTCTTGCAATAATACAACATTTATCTTGTGAGGCTAAGCGAAGTAGTACATTTACTTCTTATTTACATATTATAGCATGAGGTGATTGATGCCTTTCTAATACAAATAAAAGATTTATGTGTATAATAGCTCTGTAGCTGACTTGCACGTTATATGGTGGAATTCAGTGCTAACTGAAATGATAGTTTTAAACTGTCTATAACTCAGGAGAATAGAGGCAGTTTGCATACTGAGCTCTCTTCCTCCACTGAATGTGGCTGTGTATTTAGTGAAGCTCTTTGTAAAATTTACGAAATAGTTCTCCAAAGGTGTGAGACAGTATTTCTGAAATTGACCTTTCAAAAATCCCTTTCACTTTGCTTAACCTCCGAGGATTTTTATGGTTGCCCAAGCTGGATCATTTTCTTCCTTATGTTCAGCAAATCAATACCCAGAGACGCTGGTTTACCTACTTTACCTAATTCAGGATGAGTTCACGGCGATGTCATCTTGCCCTTTTCCCGCTAGAGTTCCACCCGCTGACTGGAACCACCATTGGGTCAGCTTTGCCACTGTGATCAAGTCATGAATGTCTTGGATAATTCAAGCCTAGTTGAACCTGGTGAAGAAAATTGCAAGATAAGATCTGTCGAATTCCAGCTGCATCCGGGCCTTTGGTTCAGGTAGGCTTGAACTTTGAGATTGGCATCATTCTCTATTAGGATTCCCAGAAAGCACGGAACCATGGGAAGCCTACAGGAGCACTTGCTCCTAATGTTAAGGAATTAGAACAGGAGAGATTGTACCGTCAGCCCTGCAGTGGGACTGCAGGCATGGAATCGGACTGCCAGAGTTCCCAACTCGTAGAAGCCGCCACCTCCTTTGTATCTGGAGTGACCTCTTTAAGTCTAGAAATACACTTGGCGCTTTTCTCTTTATTGTGGGTCATCTGTTGAGGAGAATCTGTGCCCTGTCCTAGAGTATCTTTTATCTAAAGAAAAAAGATTGGCACAAAAGGGTAGATACCAGGCAGTGCTGAAAAGAATGTCACACGCTGCTTTTGTCATCCTGTTCTCCAGTTCTCCATGTGGGTCCCTTGCAGTATTGATATAATGACATCCACAGTCATGAGAAGGTAGGTACTACAGGCAGCAGAATGAAGAATTTCGGGTCATTATCACCAGACCACAGAGCATGGAATTCTTAAATTGTTGTGCCCCAAAACTCAAGAGGTCTTGGGAAGATACACATTTCCCCAGACTAGTCTGAGATCCGGAAATCCAGGCCACGATGTGTCTACAACAGGCACCCCCCCAAGAGTCTCGTTTCCTCCCATGCTGCTTCCCACCTGAGCTTGAACCTAGGGGAAAGTCCTCCTCCTTTAGTTGTTGGGAAGGCAGAGGTTATCCAAACTGAGAGAGGAAAAGGGGATGAATGAAATAATATAATAGGGCGATGAAGCACATAAGCTCTGGAATTAATTGGAGTTTGATTCTTGAACATGCCACTTGCCAGCTGGATGGCCTTGGACAAGCTATTGAACTCTTTGAGCTCAGTTTCCTCATCTGTAAATTGAAGGTAAAAATAGCACCTTCATAAGGTGGTAGGATTAAATGAGAGCACGAGTGTACAGCACACAGAAAGGGCTTAATAAATGGGTCATTGTTATTAAGACGATAGCCCCTGTTTTTAAATTCCCTGGAGCTTTTGCCCCTCCCCACCACAAACACTATGAAAGGTTTTACATTATTTTTTCTAATGGGATTCTTGTTTTAAAAGATTTTAGTTATGAAATGATAATTCAGTTTGCCTTTACTAATCACAAGCATAACTAACGTTCAGAGGTTTTGGCTTCCACACCGTAACTAATATAATTGCACCAAGTTCTTATAGTTCCAGCTAAAAGTGAAGAACTGTGATGTTTTAGCTGGAGTAGTTTTATTGTTAGATTTATGATTTCCATAGGCTTTTCAAACACTGCCCAAGTGTCAGGGACTCCCTATTCCCCTTTACAGATTCCAGATTAGACCTTTGTCAATATCAACACATTTGGCTTCATAACAAAAAAATTAATTATTAAACTGAGATTTAGCTGGATTCTCTCAACACTGAGCAGTGCCTGACCTATTTTGTCCTAGAGATTCCACTGCATTGGGCACTCCCAACATTTCACATCTTATGTTTTTGTATTTTTCATGTCTCAGACATCAGTGCAAAAGGATTAAAACAAACTGCTGAATTTTCTAGAGTTCTTATTTGTTTTCTCTTGAGGCTTTACAGTCACTGAGAAAACAGTAGCAGTATAAAGTATGTTTAAAAACCTGCTCAAAATACTGTGAATTATATGAAGTAGCATATTGTATTGTTTTTCTGGGAATGAAATTAGCTGACAATTAAATAATGAAAGAAAACATCGGGAGATGTCGCGGCCCAATGGTGGCAGAGGCAAAAATTGTTGTGAGTTCCGAAGCAAGAGATCCCCGTGGGCAGAAGCCATCAAGGGCACGTTCACAGCATTGAGGCTGAGTGGCCACAGTGGATTTTGTGTGAGTGGAAAGGGGGCAGGGCTGGCGATGGAACGGTGAAGTAATTAAGGTGTATGGGTCTTCGAGACGAAGCTGGTGAGACTGCACAAGAGCAGATCCACCATATCTTTGAAGAGATCCAACTTGTTCTTCCATTCCCCTCCACGTCTAAAGGATTTACTGTGTGCAGGTGCTTTTCCAGATGCTGGGAGGATAGTGTCTGGCCTGCCTTTGTGGACTCTTAGGAATAATGTAATGCAAACACGGTATTTGTGAGATTTGTCCTAAACCAGCCCATAGTCTTCCTGCAGCTGGTGACACTGCTCCTCCACGTCCACCTGCTTGCTGCTTTACCCTTGGATCCCTTATCTGCTTTTGTGTCTGGCCCTCTCTTACTCTAGCCTCCTTTCTGCCTGTCTACCCCTTACCTGCCGCTCCTGCCACATACTTTTTCTCCAGGTCTGTGGCTTTAGGGGACTCTTTTGGTCAGGAAGAAGAGAGGGACAGGTGCACATGCGTTTAGCAATGTACAAATGCCCATACGCGGTGTAACTGCCATGTGATCTTAGGTTGTGTTACTTGGAGTATAATCTTTGAAACAGCGGAGGTGGTCTCTTCCTACTCTGAGTAGGCTTGGGGAGAGGCAGCATAGAGGGTAGAGGTTAAGAACGCAGGGCTCTGGAGACAGGCTGCCTACAGTTTAATAGCAGCTTTCATTTCATAGTTCTGGCCTTGAGCAGGTACTTAATTTCCATGTCTGTTTCCTCATTTCCAGAATGGGGAATAATTATGGTAATCTGTCTAATGGGGTGGTTGAGCTTACCTTGAAGTTACATGATTGTAGTGCTGAGAGTAGAGCCTGGCGCATGAGCACTCAATAAAAGTTCTTACAAGTGTCAGTTCTGGGAAGCCTTCTCCAAAGAATCGCAGGGACACAATGCAGCAGACTTAGAGGATGTGACTGAAAGGGCAAGGGTACAGACCCTGCAATCTCAGTGAAGGTTGAAGGGCTCAAGGAGGCTCAGACAGAAAAGAGAAGAGAAAACTCAAGAGGATAGACAGATTTTTTCACAGATTCGAGGCAAGCCTCATCATGTGTTTATTCTGTGCCAGTCTGTATGACTCCACAGTGAGGGACTTTGAAATGGTCCTGGAGGAAGTGAAGGAGGCAGTGGGATAGAGTTGAGAGGGTAGAGTTCCATGATCACACCAGAGTCTGAATCCAGTTCTAGTCTCACCATGTGCGACCTGCAGCTGTACTCACACCCTTTGAAGCTCAGTTTATTTATCTGTAAAATGGAAATATTTTGATTGAAAGAGGTGACAGGGATGGTTCATGGTGGGGCATGACATGGAGAACAAAGGCAAAAGAAAAAGAATTAAACTTCCTTACAACTTACAGCCCACTGACAAGTCCTTGAGACAGGCAGAGTGACCTTCCTCTAGGAACTTAGCTGCCTCAATGTTAATACTTCGCTAAGGGCAAAAGGCAACTTTACCTTAACCCAACCTCCCAACCTCCAGGATCCTGTAAGTCTACTTTAACATAAAATTTCCTTTGGAATCTTCCTTTATCTTTATCCCCCCGAAGATACATGTTAGCAATCATCCCCCAAGCATGTGACCCACCGATAAACATCTGAAGGGTCTCATGACTAAGGTTTTACTAGACAGTAGTAAATGACCTTTTCCTAACAACAGTTAGCCCCTCAAGGTCCTGGAAACCTTGCTTCCAAATTCCTTAGAGACTTACACTATCCCTAACCCCCTCCCAACTTGGAAGCAGATGATTAGCCACTCCTCAGGACCCCAGTGCAGCTCCCCCTGCCCACGGGTCCTGTCCTTGTGTGCTTTAATAAAACCACCTTTTTGCACCAAAGACATCTCAAGAATTTTTTCTTTACTGTTTGCTCCCGAACGCCAGCATTTTCACATCAGGGCAGAAGGCTACCACCAGTGTCCCAAGATCTGGCCCTCAACTTGGCAGGTGTAAACTTGTGTTAGTAACTTGCCCATGGATGGTTTTGGTGACAGACTAACATGAATATATCTCTTTCAGTGCTGTAGTAGGTTGAATGGTGGCCCTCAAAAGATGTGCCTGGGTCCTCTTTTCCAAATAGAGTAACAGTTACAAGTTCCTGGGATTAAAACTTACTATCTTTGGGTGGCCATTGTTCAACCTACTACGATGGACCCAGGAGACAGAACATGTCCCCCTACTAGGTATTTGTTTCTTTCTCATTTGTGTTTATATTTCTAATACATCCTGTGGATTAATATTCAAAAATGCAAAAGGAGATAGAGAATAATGTGCTATTTTTTGATCTCAGAAGGGGTTGTGTGGATATTTTTCCTTTCTGATAATTCATTTAGCTGTACCCTTATCATTTGTAAATTTTCTCTGTATATCTAACTTTGATTTAAAAATTTTACTACTGTTATAAAATGTACATTATCACTAAATGAACCTTGATTTTAAAAATCAAATTAGCTGGGTGCCTGGGTGGCTCAGTTGGTTAAGCGACTGCCTTTGGCTCAGGTCATGATCCCGGAGTCCTGGGTTGGAGTTCCCGCATCAGGCTCCCGACTCAGCGGGAGCCTGCTTCTCCCTCTGACCCTATTCCCTCTCATGCTGTTTCTCTCTCTCTCTCTCTCTCTCTCAAATAAATAAAATCTTAAAAAAAAAAACCAAATTAGCATATTATTTTTTACAAATAAGGATAGACTTGTAAAAAATTTTTTTACCTGCTGAAAACCATACATCTTTCCATCCCTGAATTTTCTCTTATTTCCTCACCTGAATGTGTCCCCCACTTCTTTTCTTACTCCAAATTCTGCTTTATCTGTCAAAGCCCATCTCACCTTCTCCTGCCTTTCCTGAGTGTCCCAGTTGTTGTTTTTTTTTTAAAGATTTATTTATTTATTTGAGAGAGAGAGAAAGAGCCTGGGGGGGGGGGAGGAGGTAGAGATTAGAGGGAGAGAGAGAATCTCAAGGGGACTCCCCACTGAGCACAGAGCCCAATGCAGGGCTTGGGGATTGATTCCACAACCCCGAGATCATGACCTGAGCGGAAATCAAGGGTCATATGCCCAACCAATTGAGCCACTCAGCCTCCTGCCCCTCGAGTGCCCCAGCTTTTGGTCCGCCCCTGCTCAGA